TCCAAACATGCTTAAGGCTCCGTGCACTATTTTCCGGTGGAATCTCCAGGTGGCACTATAGTCTCCAAAGGCAATGTCCTTCCCATTTCTGGTTAAAACATCTGTGGTCACCTGAAATAGTGAAGAAGAGTATTTAAAGTGATGTGTTCCATAAGGTACAGAATACTGAAATCAGACATTCAACTGTATGAATGAATGAATGAATGTATTTTGATCAATTGTTTGATTAATAACAGATATTACATCTGACTGTACAACCAAAAGGATTGGGCTGAAGCAAGTTGCTTATGTAAACACATATTTTTGTGTTAGGACTGTTTGATTCTCTGATCTGTGTTGGAAATTTCAATAGTTTTGTCAAGTCCTCTGAGATAACTACTGTTGTGATTTAGGGCTATACAAGAATAAATATAATATAATTTAATTGTTTCCTGACATCACGTCACAAACAGGTCATTATCTACTTAAACATAACAACTCAAAATTCCTATTTGCTAGAACAATGTATTTTTGTGTTCACTTTATTTCGTTTTATTTTTATCATTAATATTATTAAGGCAAAGTATATGAATTAATTATTTCACATTTTAAGGTAGTGTATCTTGTAACATATTACCTTACATGGTTTGTACAGCATGTATACCTGTGGGGTCCCCTGCATGGGAGAGCGTGATCCCATGAGATAAGTGCCAAACTGTCACTGTGTCCTCAAGCAAGACAAACACGTCCGGTGTGTTTATGAAAGAACAATATTTTGGTTAGAATAATCTGGTGCTACGAGCAATACAGATTGAACGCAATCTATGAAAACACAACCATAGATTAGATAGGTTGTTATTTTAACTCAGACATGTCCAAACTAAGGCATGTGGGCCAAATGCGGCCCGTTGTATAATGTTGTGGCCCTCTACACTAACCCTAGTAGCCATTGAGGTACTTCACAGTGTCATCCAGCCAACTTCTAGTCATGCTATACCTCGTTGTGAAGCTCAGAACTTCTGGAATCCAACTGTTGTTTTGTATACACTGACGTTTGTCTTTGATTGTCACAAAAGTCCATATATGGCGCTAATGTAGCAGTTGTGTGAATCAATATGGACTTTTCATATCCCATTTTAAAGCCCAGAACAACACATGACCGGTGTTTGGTTGAATCGCTACATATTACTGATTATAACAAATGTATTGGTGAAATTCAACAAATCCGTTTTTAGTGTAGTTGCTTTGCTTCCGTCCGTCTGCCACGATGGTCTAGAGAGCAGCAGTTCCCTAATTTAGAATTTATTATTAATACTTATTATTATTATTATTATTAAGGATACTTTCATTTCCTGTTAGATTGCACAATATTTAAGTTCGAAATGCACTATGCAGCTATATAACTTTGAACTAGAAAATAATAAAACACAGTCACATTCATAATTAAAAGTTCCTAAAACACATGCTCAAATCCCAAAAAACCACAGACAGAAAACGAAGCTTGCAAATACTTCTACTACTACTACTACTACTACTACTGATACTACTCAAAGATAAAATGCTTACATAATCATGGTCGGCTACATATATTTACTCCCACCACTTTTCGGTTTGCATTCTTTTACCCTTTAATGGTTTGGTGGATCACTTTTTGATTCATTTACTTTAAATTTGGAAGTGAAATCTACCTCTTTGGAGCATATGTCAGATTTAGGCACTTTAAAAAGCCAACTGCATCTTGACCATTTGGTAAGGCCTATCATAAAATAAACTAGTGGTTCAAAAATAAAAAATAAAAAAGTACATTGCTTTCTTAAGAGAAGTGAACATCAACAGTATTATTGACAGAAATTGACAGTTTTAGATAATTAGTTTTTTTTCTAATTTAAAAACAAATCAGACAGGCTTACATATTTAGTACACATTTCACGCACATATAAAAAACAGAACAAGAACATTGAAAGCCACATTACTAAGTCACAAGGGTCAGAGGTAGATTCACAATATTTTCATATAAAGTTTCAGCTAATTAGTTAATATGATTGGCTCACCGTCCTGGATCTTCCTGCAAAGATCTTCCCCTTCTTGAGCAGGACCTCTTTGGCGTGTATGTGGTGATTGACCATGATGACCTTATTGGAACCCAGCTTCAGCGAGTATGTGGCCCCATACTTGGCCTGGAGCTCCTTGAACAGGACGTGTGGAGGATGAGGGCCCCCGAGGCTCAGCAGGCTTCCGATCAGGGGCAGACATGGAAGGCACGGGGGCTCCAAGGATCTGCGCCGAGCTTTCCAGAGAGCGGACAACACTGCCAAGCTGAAGAGCGCAAAGACGCACAAACACCAGAGCAGCGGCATGACGTCTCACATCACACTCCAGCCCGCGCTGCGCTCTTATATAGACCGCCTTCAATGCCACATCCTTGAGTCTGAGTATTTAAACCAAACAAGATAAGCGCCCAGACTGGACTTCAGCTCCCTCCAAGTAAATGCAATCCAATCAAATATATTTTATTTTTTAACACTAGACTCCCAGAATTCTGAAACTACGAAAACACCCTGAGGCTTGCAGTCGTTTGCCACACGTCTTAAGTTCGGATAACCAGTTGGCTTGAGTTCTATTTTTCATTGTCACATTCTCTGATCAGATTCAGATTCAGATTCATTTATTTGCCATTTGCAGTAAAACCACATAGGAAAAACTGTGCAAGACTACCCCGGTGTGCACCTCTGCCAGTATGAAACATAGTTTATTTAGTGTTTCAAAAGCCATGCTTGAAATACAATATATAAACTGAATCCAATTTTTCATGGGTTCAACACAAATCTTTAAAAGAGCATGAGGCTCGTTTATAGCAGTCATCAGACCCCTCCTAAAAAAGAGGAGTCTAGATGCCACAGTTCTTAAGAATTACCGGCCCATTTCAAATCTGCCGTTTATGGGAAAAATTCTGGAAAAAGTTGCTTACCAACAACTTACAGAATTCTTAGTAACTAATAGTTCCTTTGATGCGCTCCAGTCCGGCTTTAGAGCCAATCACAGCACTGAGACTGCACTAGTGAAGGTTACAAATGACATCCGACTTAACACCGACACAGGAAAAGTCACAGTTTTAGTAATGTTGGATCTGAGTGCTGCGTTCGACACAGTCGACCACGAGATCCTCATGCAGAGACTAGAGCACTGGGACTGCCCTAAGTTGGTTTAGGTCTTACCTAGAAGACAGGAAATACTTGGTTCAGATAGGAAACTGTGTCTCAGATCATATGGCTCTGACCTGCGGAGTGCCACAGGGGTCAATTCTGGGGCCTCTTCTGTTCAATATTTACATGCTGCCATTAGGTCAGTTAATACGCTCCAACAATGTATCCTACCACAATTACGCTGATGACACTCAAATGTATGTCTCACTTACTGCAGGAGAACATGGACCAGTGGACTCACTCCTTCACTGTACTCAACAGATTAGTGATTGGATGCAAAATAACTTCCTTCAGCTAAACGCAGACAAAACAGAATTGATTGTCTTTGGTCCTCAGAAACAAAGAGAGAGCGTTATTCGTCACCTCCAGTCTCTCTCCCTGGAACCAGAAGGTCAGAAACCTAGGAGTTATAATGGACTCAGACTTAAATTTTAACAGTCATATCAAATCAGTAACATCAGCAGCATTTTACCATCTAAAAAACATTGCCAAAATTAGAAAAATAGTGTCTAAATCAGATCTGGAGATTCTCATCCATGCATTTGTCTCCAGTAGGTTAGACTACTGCAATGGCCTGCTCACAGGTCTCTCCAAACAGGCTGTAAAACAACTGCAGTATGTCCAAAATGCTGCAGCTCGAGTCCTGACCAGGACCAGGAAATATGACCACATTAGTCCAGTTCTCAGGTCTCTGCACTGGCTTCCTGTGGCTCAGAGAATAGACTTCAAAGCAGCACTGCTTGTGTACAAGTCTCTCCATGGCCTCGCACCAAAGTACTTAAGCGACTTGTTAGTGCCATATGAACCGGCCCGGACTCTGAGGAGCACAGGAGGTAGCCTCTTACTGGTTCCAAGAGTCAGAACTAAACATGGGGAGGCAGCGTTTGAGATTTATGGAGCTAAAATCTGGAACAATCTTCCTGAAGATGTGAGGCTAGCATCTACTCTGGCAATTTTCAAATCAGGGTTAAAAACTGTTCTGTTTAGCTGTGCATACGGCTGAAGGATTTTATTGATACATACTCTTTTTTTTAATGCATTGTGGTTATTTATTATTTTAATCCCGTGTGTGCTTTTAATGCATTGTGGTTATTTATTATTTTAATCCCGTGTGTGCTTTTAACGTTTTAAGGTTTTGTTCATTACTTGTGATTTTATTCTGTTTTTAATGTATTTATTGTTTGTATATGTAGTTGTTGATGTTTCTGATTTGTCTGATATTATGTGGGTTGTGAGGCGCTTTGAGTGGCCTTGTGTTGGAAAGGCGCCATACAAATAAAGTTGATTGAAAGTTGATTGATAATGCCTCTCCTGATCTGTAAATTGCAACATTATTAGTTCCTTTGTTGAATTGCACCATGTATGTATTTCCTTTGAGCTCAAAGAATTTGAACCAGATGTGGCTCTTTTCGTGATTGTGTTTGACTCCCAGACAAATCTGAATAAAAATGAATACAAAGAATTTTATTTAAAAAAATTGTTTTAATTCTGAGACTAATTTTAAATTCTGAATGTGTTGATCTTGTAAAAAAAAAAAAAAACATACATAGTAAAAAAAAACAATGCGTATGACTCTAACAAAAACCCATTTAAAAATCTGTGTTTTTTTTTTTTAGCTTCAATACATACACTGTAAATCTCTCATAGCAAAAAGGTTCCCGACCATAGACTGTAAATATTAGACCTATGAACTGAGCTGGAATAAACAACACCAGTGGAGGCGCTGTTGCGTCACTGAGACGCACGTTCGAAGCGAAGAAGTGTTGTTGTTGTCGTCTTGTTTTTGTCCCTGCTCAGAGCCCGTAGTTCCTGCTCATGATGGCGATGGCATCTGCGGATTCCCAGCCGCGTTTCGGGCAGTCTGTCAAAGGTCTGCTGTCCGACAAAGTGGCATCATGCAGCGGTGACGTGATGGCTCTGACCCGGCAGGTGCTCAAAGGCTCCCGCAGCCAAGAGGTGAGCCCCGACCACAAACTCTATAAAGTGTATTATACAGTACAATATACAGTGTAAAATAAAGTATAATATGCAGTGTATTATACTGTATAATATACAATGTATTATACAGCATAATATACAGTAGAATATACAGTGGAACATACGGTCCTGAGCCAGATCCTGCGGGTGTTGTTCTTATTATTGATGACCTAATGATTTTGGGACACACGGGGCTCTAAACTGGGTCTGTTCCATCACTGTAGTCATCAGTCAAACAGCCACAGCTATACAGAAACATATATATAGTTGGTGCTAACTGTAGTGACTGCTGATGTTCCCTCCAGCTCCTGGGACAAGCTGCACGGAATATGGTGATTCAAGAGGATGCTATTCTGCACTCTGAGGACGTGAGTACCAATGAGGGTGTTGTTTATTTTATTCTATATTTATTAAACAGGAAGTTCCGTTGAGATTGTGATTAAGAGAACCCACGGAAATTATACAACCATTGAACGTAGTGACACTAGATACTAATTACTTTATGTGATTGACCATGTAGTTTGTAAAAGACCATGGCGTATATAAAAGAAAGGTGTTGCCACCTCCGGATCTACTGATCTGATACTGGGGCACATTAACCAGTAAAAGAGGATGATACTGGTGATTGCCCATCATCCAAATAACATGGTTATATTTCTTATTATAAGAAATTTTCTTATTTCCAATGACTCCCTCTGCTATGTCCAACTTGATTTCCAGAGCCTAAGAAAAATGTCTATCATAACCACACACCTACAATACCAGTAAGTATAAAACATTCATAAATGGTTCAGAATTTGACCTGAATGCTGAATTGTGTCTCTTTCCCAAAAGGCAAGAGGCCATCCAGAAAAAGTAAGTCTGAATTAGTCTGAACAGTCTAAGTATTCAGGGATGGCAACTGGGCGGCAGTAGCTCAGTTGGTAGAGCGTTGGCCTTTGAGCCAGAAGGTTGTGTGTTCAAGCCCCGCTCAAGACTTTCACCATCGACTCCCACTGTCTGCTGTCGTTGTGTCCTTGCCAAGACACTTAACCTCTGGGAACACCAGCCACAGTGGGGCGGCTGCGGACGTAAAGTGCCAAACTGCCGTTGTGTCCTTAGGCAAGACACTTCACCCCCATTGCCTAGAATGAGTCTGGTGTGTGTGTGAATGGTCGGTGGTGGTCGGAGGGGCCAATGGCGCATACTAGTTGCCTCTCTTCTGTCAGTGTGCCCCAGGGCAGCTGTGGCTACAGTTGTAGTTTATCACCACCGTGTATGGAGTGAATGAATAATGACACATGTGAAGCGTCTTTGAGTGTCCATAAAACCGATGCATTATTATTATAAATCTCATCTGTGTTTTTAGTGTGGAGCACTCCAAAAACCTGCAGGACCAGCTCCGACACCTGTTGAAGTGAGTGATTGGGATCAGGCCCTGAGTCTTATCAGAGAATGGACTGATGACAGAAGTAAAAAGGTTAATGAAACCAGAAGAACAGTTATCTGTCTCCTGAAGGCCTAGCAGCTGCCTGACCTCCAGCGTGTCCCTGAGGTCCCGTGTGCGCGTGCTTTTACGCGGCACGGCAGATGCTTTGAGAAATTCCACCCAAGACTCTCGTCATCTTATCCTTGAGTCAAAATAATGAGTAAAACACTGCGTCTTATCACAAAGCCAAGGTCTCAGGATATAGCCCAGGGTCGGACTGCATCTGAAGAAAAGCAAGAACAAGAGATGACGACAACATTGTATGTAAACTGTTCATAGATCAGCAGCTTTGATATTAGTTTAATTGAATTGGTACATGCAGAATACATTGTTTTTTGATTCCTCTTTGTTACTGAACATCAATAACTGAACAGATTGAATAAAAATAAATACTAACAGGAGAGACTCCTAAAACCGGCTGGTATGAATTATGGCTTTATAGATTGACTTTATTTATTTATTTTTTTTAATCACAAACGATCACTAAAGTCTTATTTTAAGGTGATATATTTCACATCGGTCAGGAGTAAGACCATTCAACACTTAACAGTGACTCCAGCAGCTTGATGGCTAAGGTCGCCCTTAGCTACATTCTTCAAGTGTAATCCTGTCACAGAATAGAAGGTGTGCAGAAAGTGCAAAATGATTCAGTATTTTTCAGAAACAGCAGTCAAAGCAAACATCAAGTAACAAACATGCACACACACACAAACCTGTGTGCAACCACCATTTGGCATCAGCAACATGTACAGGAAAATCCAACTAAAACAAATAGTGAAATGAAGGACATTTTAAAACAAGAGATTTTCTTAAAAATGAAATGACCTTTGCCTCAACAATGAAATGTTAAGACACGAAAAGCAGTAAAATGAATAGAAAACATAGTATAAAGGCTTGTCACTGCTGCCTCACATCAGGGCAATGAATAATCTTATACTGTATGATTGCCATAGTTCAAATAGGTCTACTCTTCTTCCTCCTCATCATCATCATCCTCATCGTGGCAGTGTGTGATCTCTTGTGGAGCTGTTGGGAAGAAGTGCGGAGGCTGGATCTCGCTGACCGAGCGGGTCAGCTGGGCCCGCTTACACTCCTCCCTCAGGTCCAGCTCATACCGGTTTCTTGTGGCGAGGGGAGACTCAGAGTCCAATATGTCAACGTGGGTGTGGTCGTGTGGCATCTGAGCATCAAATTTATCATGAGAATTTACTTGTTCCACAAACATTTCTGAGAAATACCAGATCTGGTGTTTTAACAGGAAGATTCACAGATGGAACTCAGAAAATTACAATATATATCAAAAGTTCAAGTAATTTCTGAAATTCAACTTAAAATGTGAAACCAATAGATGTTGTACACTCAGTAAGATGTCAAGCCTTCGCACGTTATAGTTTTACTGATTTATGGCAACAAAAAGATTACAAGCTGTGAGCCATAAAATAAGCCATCCATCAATTTTCTTCCCCTTAATCCATTTCTGGGTCGGGGGGTCAGGGGGTGCAGTCAGAGCTGCACCCACTGCACTTAGCACCAGCCCCTCTCACTGATCCTCTTGTGGTGGTCCACAAGAGCCTTGATCTTCCAGTGGGGGCTTCAGGCAAAGTGGGGTTAAGTGTCTTTCCCAAGGACACAACGACTTCAGGCTCAAAGGGCAATGCTCTACCCAGTGATGGGAATAACGGTGTTACTAGTAACGGCGTTACTAACGCCGTTACTTTTTTCAGTAACGAGTAATCTAACGAATTACTTTGACAGTAACTATAACGCCGTTATCATTTCCGACATCCCGTTACTGCGCGTTACTCAAGACGCACAATGAACGTGTTGTCATGAGAGAAGAGAGGATCAGAAAACCTCTCAGCAATTATTGGCTGATGTAAAACATATTTCCTTTACAATCCACATGTCTACAGTTGAGAGGATGGCTCATAAATTGTGTTTTTGAAACAAATGGGTCTTAATCACACTCTACCACGGCTTGTATCACCGTGAGGTCAGCCTCAGAGGAGCGCATGTGAGCGCAGAAGTCGGCTGCATACAATTCCATCGATAAGCTCCTTTCTCTTCCTGGTTTATCTGCTAAAGACAGCAACAGGTTTGGCTAACATACACATAGCACATTTTTACATAATCTAAAATGCACATAGGATAATTTTTCAATTACTATAGGATAATTTTTCAATGACTATAGGAATGATAAGAAAGAGAGGTGAAGTGTAAGACGGTTGATTTTAGAAATTGGATGCAGCCGGCTGCAGCAAAACAGAGGAGTTTACGGAGGACACACGCGTTTTGTTTTACTTTTTAAAACTCATTGGACTCATTTCCAAATGGAGGATTACATATCTACGCTCAAACCATTAACTGGAATTTAAACAAGGAACTGGTCTGAACCGAAGTGGACTGTGCAGGTCATTTATAAGGTAAGACCCATAACTCATAGTTTTGCGTTTTGTATGAACAAACAATGCGGGCATAAAACATATTTTGCTGTAGCCAAACAAATTGTGTTTGGCTACAGCGGTGTTTCCACATTCACAGTGGCGGGTGTTTGTGTTCAGTGCTTAGTGCACAGAGAGAGATGAAGAGTGAACAGGACTTCAGCAGCAAAACAGCCTTTTCTAGATGGAAATATTGGCAATATTTCAGACTCACTGAGGTTAAAGGTAAAAATGCGCACGTCGGGTGCACATTATGTTTCAGAACAAAACGAAAAAGTAACGCAATAGTTACTTTTACTGGTAACTAGTTACTTTTATAGTGGAGTAACTCCGTTAGTAACTCAGTTACTTTTTGGTAGAAGTAACTATAACTAATTACTTTTTCAAAGTAACGTGCCCAACACTGGCTCTACCAACTGAGCCTTTGTGTGTAATTGGTCTGTGATATATTAGTTTCACATTAGAAGTTGAATTCTGAAAGTGGACTTTTGAACAATATTCACATTTCTTCATGAGGACCATTTAAAAAAACATGTTGAACAGTGACTGATAAGTGACTGAGGTTGGCTCACCAGTACATGTGCTGCTCTGAACATGTAGCTGAAGGGGTAGTACAGCAGGTTAATGAAGGAGGCCGCATATAGGTCGGCGTAACGCATGACTTGAGATGCAAACAGGGTCTGTCTGGATCCGCTGCGAAACAGACTGCCCATCATCCCGTAACACATGTCCATGTCGTGGGTCACTTTCTGGTTAAGACAGACACAACATGACTTATCTACATCAGGGAGTGAAAGATTGTATGAGGTAATACATTTTCCAAAGGGACACAGCCATTTAGTCTTATTTCAAGAACTGTTGCTCTATTTTCTCATTTCTTGTATATTTTTAAAACAAGATACTTTTGCGTGTCCCATTGGCAAATCTTGTGGTCAAAATATGCACAAATTAAGATACATTTTGCCAAATTTGAGAAATTTGTGTCTTATTTTTCATCACTTTTTGTAGTGTTCACACCTTGATCCGTCTCTGAAGTGAACTGATGTCTGGACGTTCATTACTGCTGCTGTCCAAATCTCTGACCACAGACAAAGTGAAGGAGTGTGAATACAATGTCTCAGAAAACAAGTGTGCCATGACTGCGTTCACAAACTCACTTGTAAAGATCCGCAAGAAAGCAATCCAGAAACTGAAGCTCTTCAAATATAGCTGTTGGAAAGAAGTCAAAATCATTTCATGCTCCAAGAAACGGTACTGACAGAGCAAAGTGCTTGACTCACCGCTTTTGTCTGTCCACACATGAAGCTCCTGGGCCAGCTCTGGGATCACCAAGAACGTCCTCCAGCCCTGACGCTTCTTAGATTTGAGAATATCTCCAAAAATATGATCTCCAATATAAATTATGTCCTTTCCTTTGGCTCCAAGAAGGTCACACGCAATGTCAGAGGAGCCTGGGTGATAAAAAAACAAAAAACATACAAGTAAAACACTCATCATGAAGCATTTTTCACCTATTGCTAATTAAGATGAACAGATCCTTTATTCGTTCCATAATGGGGAAATTTCAGTGTTGCATTACTAGTTACAGAACAGTAGGAAAGAGAAGCACACAAAAAAATAAAATCTCGAGCATTAGCATAATAAAGAAGCAAGTATACAATCTCTAGCTTTAGCATCATAAATAAATAAATAAATGATAAATAAACATATCTACCTCCGGAGTACACAATGCCGTGCTGGAGCGGTCCAGTGTATGTTCCGATCTTTAGACGACCTGTAACCTATTCGCCACATGAAACGCATGTAAAAGTCGTTTAACATTGAGGGAGATTAAGTGGTTGTTTTATTGCACAACTCACTGTGTCCACTTGGCGCAAAACGGTCCCCTCTGCAAAGAACAGAGGCTTGCGAGCGTCCACCAAGATCAGATCAAAGTACGACTGCCAATGCCTGTGGGGGGTCCCTGGCTGCAGCAGGGAAAGTGCATTTGTGTTGGTTCTGTTGTACGTCCCAAGATTCAAGATTCAAGAATTTCATTGCCATTTGCAGTAAAACCACATTGGAAAAACCGTGCAAGACTAGTTCAGTGTGCAACAGGATAGGACACACCAGAGCTCCTGCCATGTTATCTTTTGCATCATTTTGGCAGAGAGCTGATTGGCTGTGAGGGTGGTTCTCTCTTTTGGCCAAAAATACATTTATATGAAAACTAGAACCACACTGAAACTAGATGGATTTGATTAAATAGTTCCACTCTTATGTTGTTTGAAAGTTAGGTACCTCAGCTTTAATACATTTAGTAGTAGATATCACACATGAGAATGAGAGAGAGGATTTGTTATTCTAAACTGTGCTGATTGTATGAGCAGCTGGGTTTACCTTTGGTCCGTGAGGAAAGTCAAAAAGGTACGTCATAATTTTCTGTTAAAAAAGGAAAGAAAATACGATTAGATTTCTCCAAAAACAGTAGCATTTCTAAAAAGTACCTGTA